ACAGGTGTGTGAGCGGGGCGCTGTGTGTGAGCGAGTGGGTGTGTGAGCAGGGTGGCGTGTGTGAACAGGTGTGTGAGCGGGGCGCTGTGTGTGAGTGGGTGTGTGAGCAGGGTGGCGTGTGTGAACAGGTGTGTGAGCGGGGCTCTGTGTGTGAGTGGGTGTGTGAGCAGGGTGGCACGTGTGAACAGGTGTGTGAGCGGGGGGCTGAGTGTGAGCGGGCGTGTGAGCAGGGTGCTGCGTGTGAGCGGGTGTGTGAGCGGGGCGCTGCGTGTGAGCGGGTGTGCAAGCAGGGTGGCACGTGTGAGCAGAGCCCCGCGGGCCGTGTTGCGCTGTCCGGGCCGTGCGTACACCATTCGCTGCACATCTGGTAAGCCAGTGACCTCGGCACCTCGGTGGTAGTTCCACATCCTGAGCACTTTCAGATTTCAGATTCAGTCACAGATTTGCAGCGTCTGCCACACTTCCCCAATCTGCCGATGGCCTCCAGGCAGTCGAGGGTTGGGGACCGAACTGCGGCGTGCGGTGCCCCGGGCACACGGCGTCTGTGCCAGGTCCCCACCACTCACGGCACACTTCAGTCCCTGCGGGGGTCGATGCCGGCCCGACTCCTGCCAGACGTGTCCGCCTCCTCTTCCCTGCAGATCAGCTTCCATGTCTTCTCTGCATCTCTGCCCTCTGGACTTCACTGGTCTCATTTGCCAGACTTGGGCAGCCTAATCTCAACTCTCTCTCTCTCTCCATATATATATATATATATATATATATATATATATATACACACACACACACACACACACATATATATGTGTGTGTATACACACACACACACACATATTGGCAGTCCTAGGTCTTGAACTCAGGGCCTGGGTGGTGTCCCTAAGCTTCTTTTGCTCAAGGCTAGCACTTGAACACCTCCAGGCACCACTTGAACCACAGCGCCACTTCCAGCTTTTTCTGTGTATATGGTACTGAGGAATTGAACCCAGAGCTTCATGCATGCTGATCAAACATTCTGCCACTAAACCATGTTCCCAGCCCTCTGAGTATTTTTGAGATGATGTTTGCGAGGGGCAGAAGGAGCAGGAGCGAGCTGAGGCTCACTGTTCCCCCGCTTAGCCCGTGTGGCCAGTCGTTGGGGCGTGGCTTGTGTTGGGCAGCACTTAGGGACGTGTGCTGGGTGCAGCACCATGTCGTGCCCCACACGCGGTGCTGGTGGCCTGGGAGCGGAGCAAGTCAGGTGGGAGGTTGGGGGCAGTGAGTCAGGGTGAGCAGCAGTGGCCCCCGGCAGCTGGTGGAAGGCAAGAAGACTCTTAGTTGCAAAACCAAATGGAACAAAGAGGTGTTTCTGAAACTATCCTATGATCCCCGAGAGTTCCCAAAACCTTCCTCTAAAGAACAGCTCGGGGCTGTGTGTCCTACAGACTCTCTGAGCTCCAATCTGCTCGGTGAACTATGTCTGCACCTGCCTGCTGGAGGAACATTGGTTTAGGAATGCTTAAATCTCCCAAGGAAGCAGATTCCGTTTTGACTCGGTGGGCCCCTTGCGTGTGACAGGGGCACTGACAGTGTGGAGGGGAGCCCGCTGAGGGCCGTGCGTGTGACAGGGACATTGATGGGGAGCCCGCTGAGGGCCGTGCGTGTGACAGGGAAGGCTGCGGTCTCAGGGGTGCACGGCGCGCCAGGCTGTGGGTGCTGTGCGTGGTTTGTTGGCTCCTCAAGAATCGCGCCAAAGACAGTGCTTCCGGCCTCCCCTGGCAGTGGGGAGACATCGCCCACTAAGAAGGTAGGGAAGGATCTCCTTAGGAACTTCTATCACCGCACTCCTCTGTCTTCATAGAAACGACTCTGTCTTCACAAGGCCGATCCTCACAGCTTGTCTCTCCAGGCTGATGGTTGCAATTCAAGGCTGGGAATTTGTGTCCAGGACTCTCTATGTGTGGTGACCCAGGTGTCAGCAGGCCGCTCAAACAACTTCCTTACAAGGGCACACACGGTCTTTGTGGTACAAATGGTGGTTTGGGCAGGCTGAAGCCTGGGAGCTTAGGAGTAAACAATCTTTTTTATTGAGCGCCCTGGTTCTTAGCCACAGCCTGAAGTTTCTCAGTATCTGGCACAATGCAGGGTTACACCAACCAGTGAGTTCACGTCTTTCTCCTAAGAGAAATCACTGGTGCCTGGGGGGGGGGGTGCACAGAGGGTGTGTTTCTGTCAGCAGTTCTGCTTTGAGAGATTTTGGCCCAGTAGAGTCTCGCTGTACGTACTCACCCTGAGTTTTTGTGTGGATCAAAACCTACTGTTTTTCTAATATGACCTTCATTTCATGAAGGATCCCAGCATGGGGACAGCTGTGTGTGGGCCGTGGGCCGTGGTTTGTGGAACTGTGCATGCGACCACGGTGGACTCATCGTTGTGTTAGAAAAGGCTACGGCGTGTTCTCCCTGGGTGCAGAGAGCAGGGAAGCCTGTCCTCAGTGCGTGTCCAGCTGGGCGCTGCTCTGGCGCCGCCCCGGGACACGACTGTGACTGCAGCCATTTGCTTTCTCCCCTCCTCAGCTTCCTCTCTGAGCGGCTGTCATCCCTGCTGCTGAGCCGTGAGGTGGCCCCATCTGCTTCCCTTCCCGCCCCAGGCTGCCTCTCCTGCCCACAGCCTGCACCGCCATGGGTGAGGTGAGAGCCTGCTTTGTTCTGGGTACAGAGTCTGAGTTCAGTTACTTGTGGCCACGGACGGTGGGCTGCAGCGCACTCTTCCTTTGCTTTTCAGGAACTGCTGAGCTCTCTGGATCCTTACGAGTCACTGGATGATTATTCTGAGTCAAACAGTACGAGTGCCAGCGATTATCCGAGTAACTACCTGCCGCCCTCCCCATGCTCGCTGCGGGGCGTCAGGCAGTTCTCCCGCGCGTTCGTGCCCGTGGCCTACTCGCTGGTGTGCGCCTTCGGCCTCCTGGGCAACGTGCTGGTGGTGCTCACCTTCGCCTTTTACAAGAAGGCCAAGTCCATGACGGACATCTACCTCCTGAACATGGCCATCGCGGATGCCCTCTTCGTCCTCACGCTTCCCTTCTGGGCAGTCAGCCACGCCGCCGGCGCGTGGGTTTTCAGCAACGCGCTGTGCAAGCTGCTGAAGGGGATCTACGCCGTCAACTTCCACTGCGGCATGCTGCTGCTGGCCTGCATCAGCCTGGACCGCTACGTGGCCATCGTGCAGGCCACCAGCTCCTTCCGCCTCCGGGCCTGGACCCTGACGCACAGCCGGAGAATCTGCTCCGTGGTGTGGGCGCTGTCACTCCTCATCTCCACCTCGACCTTCGCCCTCAACCGGAAGTACAAAATCCAGGGCCAGCAGGTGTGCGAAGCCAAGTACCCGTCCTTCTCGGAGCCCATCACGTGGAAGCTGCTGGGGCTGGGGCTCGAGCTGCTCTTCGGCTTCTTCGTCCCCTTCGTGTCCATGCTGTTCTGCTACGCGCTCATCGTCAGGACCTTGCTGCAGGCTCAGAACGCAAAGCGGCACCGCGCCATCCGCGTGGTCATAGCCGTGGTGCTGGTGTTCCTCGTGTGCCAGATTCCTCACAACGCCGTCCTGCTGGTGACCGCCGCTCACCTGGGCAGCATGGACAGAGTGTGCCACAGCGAGAGGCTCCTGGGCTACGTCAGGACCGTCACCGAGGTCCTGGCCTTCCTCCACTGCTGCCTCAACCCCGTGCTCTATGCCTTCGTCGGCCAGAGGTTTCGGAGCTACTTCCTGAAGATCATGAAGGACGCGTGGTGTGTGCGGAGGAGGGCCGCATCGCGCCTCTCCTGCGCCCGCATCCACTCGGAGAGCTGCGCCTCCAGGCAGACCAGCGAGGCCGTGGACGACAACGCCTCATCCTTTACTATGTGAGCCCGGAGAGTCACGCGGTACCCTGCAGCACCTATGGAACTTATCAATAGGTGTCTGGTGGGAGGAGCGGGGGGAAGAAAAGAAAAGACATGGCCCAAGATGCACAGGAGTTCTGGAAATTAAGCATAACCCGCCTGGGCCTCCCTGTGCTAGTGTGCTTGGTGAGAAGTGTTGTGGTCCCGGAGACTCATGGGCCTTTGTCCCACAAAACAGGACCTGGGAAAGGTGCAGTTCATGTGAATTACATATGAATTTAAACATTTTCTGAAAATATTTACAAAGAGATTGCACAGAGACCCACGCGTGATGGCTCCCACCTGCAATCTTAGTGACTTAAGAGGCTGAGGTTGAGAGCATCCAAGTGTGAGGACGGCCTCGCAAGAAAACTTCCCCAAGATCTCAGCCCGACCGTGAAAGCAGTGAGACCCTTATCTCCAGAAAAGTCAGGAGTGGAGTTGTGGCTCGAGTGGAAGAGCGCCAGCTTTGAACAGAAGAACTCAGGGACACCAGCACCACAAAAAGCGGCGGCGGTGGGGGGGGGGGAGAGACGACATAAAGCTAATAAAAATACTTTAAAAAGGGGCTGGAGGCATTGCTTGGAGTCCCTAATATTTGAAAAGCCCCGAATTCAAATCCCAGCACAAAAAAGAGAAAAGACAAAGAGAAGTACTCCTATAACTCCTTTTAGAAAAACATTTAAGCTGGGAAGGAGGCTCAGTGGTAGAGCGCTTGCCTCGCATGCATGAAGCCCTGGGTTTGGTTCCTCAGCACCACATAAAGAGAGAGAGAGAGAAAAAAAAGAAAAACATTTAAGCGGTGTTTACTGTTGCTAACTGTAAATAGCTAAATCATTACCTACTTTCCCTTGGACTGGCACAGTGAGTGCCAGGTTGTCAAAGGCTGGAGAGAGACGCCGACGTGCCTACCCACTGGAAAGCACATGGTAACATGCGGTGGGCGGAAATGACGGTCACCCTCCTGTCTCCCTGGAAAAGGCATCTGGGCCTGCACTGGCTGCGGCCGCTGGCTGCCCCTCACTGGCCAGGCAGCCCTGCCTACTGCTGAGCCTGGCTTCTGCAGGGGCTGGCTGGTAGCCCCGGCTCTGCTGAGTTTTTAGCATGTTTAACAAATGTTTGTCCAATGCATCATAATAAAATTGGAGTTTATCTTGCAGTCTAAACTGCTAGATGTTCTTAATTGTTCTCGTAGTACTTCTTTAAATAAAAGAAAACTTTGCAGAGCCAATGAGAGGAACGTTGGTTCTCATTTCTTAATGGAGTTGGAGGAGAGGATGGTGGCTAAGGCCCACAAAGGCCTGGAGTTAGACAGGGTGTAGTAAGAGGCACATTGGCTTCCCAAAGTCTGGACTCATGACTGGATCAGACTGTAACGACTCTCTGACTTTGTAGAAGCCTTCCAGAACTCTAGATCTGCAAGTGCTGCATACATGTAGGAAGACAAGTGGGGAAAATCTGGACTTGACCTATGAAAATACAGAGGATTCGAGCAGGGTGACCATCACCCATCCAGAACCCTGACAAGCTCACCTTGACGAGACACTAGTGGGAACTTGTCTGGGTCTCATGGGCTGCAAAGAGAGGTACTAAGATCTAAAGTCTGTATGTATTAAGCATTGCTTTAGCGTTGCAAAGTAAGAGTGCATGAGGTATGGGAAATTGGAATCATGTTCTAGCTTCTGTGTCTTCCCCCTGCCCGCCACAGGGCCTCTGCTGCCCTGAGATCTGCTAGTGGTGGATTCCAGAAATCAAATCATAAGCCAGGATGCTCTTGTCACCATAGTAACTGTGAAGCGCCTGGAGGAGTCTCAAGTGTGGCCAGTAGGGGGCGCAGAACCCATTTCTTAAGTGGAGAAACATGAGCATGCTGGATGGGCTGATCGGACTGTGACAGTAAGTCTAACGCTTGAAGCTAGCCCAGGAGGAGCCTGCTTCTGACAGATGGAATCATTTTTAAGCGGAAAAGCACAAAATCCTCACGGCATCTAGGTGTGCAGCCTTTCCAGTGGTTTGCGCAGTGAGCGCGGTCTAAACGAGCACACAGGCTCTTTTCCCTTTTGAGTACAAGGTTTTCCACATACCGATTCCCACGTGTGTTCCTCACGTGCACACCGCAGGGAAGGAGCGGCGCTCGGTGGCGATCCTGGGGCAGCCACACCTGAGCCCTCGGAGGTCTGCTCCCAGGGCCTCCAGCCTGCCCCTGGCCTGGCCCGGCCCCGAGGGTGGGTCTCTCTGCCCCTCCCGGCCAGTCCCAGCCTCCTCTCTGCAAAGTTTCCCTGCAGAGGGAAGAGTTCCCCAACCCACCGCCTGGGGACCTGCACACTCCGGCACGGCCCTGCACCCGCCACCGCTCACCTCTGCCTGGCCTGTGGGCTCTGCTCAACTCCCAATCCCTGTTTCCATTGTCCTTGAGCCCTGAAGCAGGAGGAGGTCTGGGCGTGCCCTGAGAAAGGAGGCCTGGCCAGGAACCAAAAGCAGACGGTGGATCTGGGTAAGGTCAGCGAACTCCTGGTGTCCAATGTGAGTCCAGTGTCACTCGCTCCTGCGGCATGATGCAGGACCTGACTTGGTCAAACGCTGGTTTCCTGAGCCCACACAGGGAGATTCTATGCCCGGACCTATTTCTCCATTGAAGAAGAGGGTGCTTTGCCCCTACGGGCCATGCTTGGGGCTTCTCTGACTGTTCACAGTTACCATGGTGACAAGAGCATCCTTGCCCACCAGGGGCCTTAGGGATGACAGTGAGGCGGGCAGGGTGGAGCGCTGTTCCCAGACGGTCCTGAGCCTGTGCTGGCCCTCCCTGACCCCTCCCCAGCTCTCTGCTTAGGAACCCATCCACCCACCAGCCCGCCACTGGCCAAAGGGAGGGGACTGTTGGCTTATTTGGACAGAGAAACAACACTGGCCGCAGGATGGAGTTGTCTCAGTAAGGAAGAAGACCTCACCCCGAAGCTCCTGGCAGCCCTTATCAGGTGTTCTGAGAGCTGCAGGCCGCAGACGGACTGTCAGCTGCCCCGCGGGACGAGAGAGGAAGCACACGGGCAGCCCGGGCCCTCCCTTGCCCAGTGCCGGCTCTCCACCGCGTCCAGAGGCCACCGTTGAGACCAGAGCTTGTTCAGCCCCTGGCTGCAGGCCTGCGGTCCTCCCTAGGGAGGGTGGGGGAGGACTCGGTGCTGAGGCAGTGTCCCCAGGGACACTGACCGTGTGACCCTAATGAAGAAGTCAGACGGGACTGTGGTAACGCCCTGGGGTTTGCTGGACACAGGGATGGGGTAGGCCTGGGGTCTGACAGGCCTGTCAGCCGTGAGTCGCCTCGCGTGGGCTTCATGTGGAGGGCAGGGGGTTACAGGGCCCCCAGCCACGGCGGGAGAACAGCAAATCATTAGCTACCAATGTGTGACCTGCTAGGCTCGGGTGCCGTTTTACTTGTGTCTAGGATGGCCCTACAGCAGCTCTTACTGCCCTGTTTGCAGAGGGGTCAGTGAGCAGCACTGAGGTGAGGGAGCACGGTGCTGGCCCTTCCTGAAGCAGGGGCTTTGCTGCCCACGCCTGGAAGACAGGCGCCGGGGCAGGGCGGGGTCTCCGGCACCTCCCACTGCTGGGTGGCCGAGCCCCCTGATGAGCCTGCGGCTCCTTCCACCCGGCTGGCAAGCCTGTGAGCCCCCAGCAGCCCGTGCCACAGGCCTGCCAGCTGGTGTGTGCTCGCTGTGCGCCAGCCTGCTGCCCGCAGCTCTGACAGACGATGCTGCAGCCAAGGCCCAAGGCTCGGAGGAATCGGCCGCAGGCTGGAAAGTGACCGGGTGAGTGTGAGCATTTTCAAAGTGGC